CATCTGAAACTTCTCCATGACTGATGTTTCTCTCCACAACTACAATATCCCATCCTCCCAGATGGCTTACTCAATCATGCCCAGTATAATAAGTCTTCAACATCAATGGATCCTTTGGACCCTCTCCATTTTCCCTATTCACTCACTCCTTTCTTTCTTTGCCTCCAATCCACCTCAGACTCCATGTCCCATCATTTTAATCACTCTTGCCAAAATCCTAAACCTCCTTAGTCCCTCTATACCTGGCAAAAACCTAAGCCTGCATAAATGTGACATCCCAACTTCTTCATACCTCAGACATCTGAGAACTGCAGGAGAAAACTCCCTAAACAAGCAGATGGTTCCCCAGCATAAGTCTAGCCATCAACTGCTTGCTGAATGATTCTACTACCTTTCTCTAACCAAACTGCTATGACTCTTCGCAACAATAATTTCAAACCTGCAATCTCCACAAATCTTCACTCCCTAAGCAGCTGGCCTTGCCTGGTAGTCACCAGACAAGAACTCTCTCCCCCACAATCTGAATCTTCCTTTGCACCTATCCTTCCTTTCTCTTGTTAAAGGCGGAAGAGATACTATTTCTTTTTTTTTTTCTCCCCCTGTAACTTACGAGGGTGCTGCGATGTCTTCCCAGATGTGGTCCCCATGTAAGGTCTTTTTTTTTTTTACATCTTTATTGGAGTATAATTGCTTTACAATGGTGTGTTAGTTTCTGCTTTATAACAAAGGGAATTAGTTATACATATACATATGTTCCCATATCTCTTCCCTCTTGCGTCTCCCTCCCTCCCACCCTCCCTATCCCACCCCTCCAGGCGGTCACAAAGCACCGAGCTGATCTCCCTGTGCTATGCGGCTGCTTCCCACTAGCTACCTACCTTGTGTTTGGTAGTGTATATATGCCCATGCCTCTCTCTCGCTTTGTCACAGCTTAAGTCCTTCCCTCCAATTGTGCTCTGGAGCCCATCCTTTCCTACCTTCTTAGGAATCTTGAACTTTTAATTGTTCCTTATTTTTGAATCTTCAACTCCTTTCTAATGGAGATTTCCCATCAGCATTTACACAGGCTCAACTCTTTCCTCTTAGAAAAGAGGGGTGGAGAGGAAAGAGAAAAGGAGAAAGAAGAAAAAATTCTCCTTTTTCGTCAAGACCCCTCCAGCTATGACTGCTTTTCCACATCAAAACCAAACCTGAAGACCCATCTACCTTGTTATCTATTTTTTCATCTCCTTCTCACCAATTAACCCCTCAAACTTGCATTCTACTCTCCAGAGCTTCTAACATAGTCACCATCATAGTCACCATCACTTTGTCACTAAAGTCTTTGGACAAATATTGATCCTAATCTTCTGCCACTGAATCTCAGATCGTATTTTTTTCTTCAGCTTGGGATGTCAAGAAACAAAAATTCCATGAGAGTAAGAATTTGTTCCATGATGTATCTATGTCAGTGCCTTGTAGAGTACTGGATACACAGAAAGTACTCAATAAATAAATGAATAAATGATAGTTTTCCTCCCAGGCTCCTGACAAAGTCATTCTTCAGGGTCAATGCAAATAGCACCTTCCTTAAAAAATCTTTTACAATCCTGCTACACAGAATTAGATTATGTGTCCTACCAATGTTAGACAGTAGCCAGGCACTGGGGATACAGAATTTAAGACAGACTCCCTGCCCTCAAAGACTCTCAGTCTGGATCTGTTATACCTGTACTATAGACATTATGCTCTTCTACTTTATATTCATTTATTTATTCATTCAACAACTATGTGGATGCCTATCAAATACAGAACCTGTATCTCCTATTCTCTTATTAACTTCAAACTACCACAAAGATCAGAGACTTAATAATTCTTGAACTGCATTTAAAATAATTATAGAAAAATTCTTTAAATCACTTTCTAAGATAAATGTTAGGAACCAAAATCATAATGTTTCCTAACTACTTCTTATTCACCTATTAATTATATAACTGGATTCTTATATAAATTGACTCATTATATTTTAAACAAGTTTTAAGACTTTTCAGTTATACAAATAAGTGGTAATATTGTAAAATGAAATACTGCTAAAAAGTACTTTAAAATATAAAATGTTCCTACCCTTTGACCCAGCAATCCTACTTTTGAGACCTGATCCTAAATACAAGGATGTATATATATTTCTTGGCCTAGAATTTAGTGGAATGAGAATGAAGTGAAGAGAGAAATCTGCAGAGAAATATGTAGAGTATGATTCCCTTTTGTTGTTTAAAAAGGGAAAAAAATACAGAGTACATAATTACATAAACACAAGCAAAGGAGTGGAAGGACACAACCAAACTATTAACACTGGTTATTCCAAAGCACAGAATTGGAGGAATAGAAAGAGAAACTACTACTTTCCATATATTTCTTATGTTGGTTGCTATAAGGGCACATATTTTTATATGTAAAATATGAACAGTTTATTCTTTTGTATATAAAAATGGCTTTTCCCTGTGCTTTAATTTTAATATGGGCATTTCCCAAGTTCTAAGCATCTGACATACAATCATCCTACAAATATAAACCATAATGCAATACTGAGCAGCTTGAAGGGAAAAAGGAAGGACAGAAGTTGGGCATTAGTGACTCCTCACCAAGAGGCTTCATACGAAGAGGGGAGAAGGGGAATGCTGAGGAGAAGACATTTAAACACAATAAAACAATGTTAATAAGAAATAATAAAACAATGTGGAAATGGAAATGATTGGCAGGTTCCCAAGCTTTTCTTAAAAAAAAAAAAAAGGCCAATTAACTCATAATGTGTTTGAGATAGTATAATGCTTCCAATAATGTGTTTTTTTCCTTTGGACAGTATTGCAGTTTAAGTCAAATTTTACATACTAAATCTCTATTATTTCTATAGGAAATATACTTTATCAATAACACCAGCAAACATTCTAAAAGCCTGCAGTCACTAGTTTGGAACACTCAAGGGCAAATATTGTTTCATCAGCTTTGAAAACCTGTGCAGTATGCCATTCTCAGACTACGCTGGATATAAGTAAGCTGTCCTATACTCAGTATAGTCACGGAATGGTATGGTTGCTACCATTCCCACCATCCCGATATCTGTATGGTACTTCACAGTTTAAAAAGCTCTTTGATACAAAGGAATGAAATGTTCCAGCTAAGACAAAGCATTAAAATAAAATATATACACCTACCATTATAAACATATGCAACAATTTAATCTTCAGTGACTACAAAGGTGGCAAAGCATGAACTTGAAATGTATGCTTGGGAGCCATTATATCAGTTAAAATTGTATAGTAGATACTTAAATATTTTCATAAATAGAAAACTGCAGCCAAGAAATGGCCACAAAACCAAAAGTTTATTGTAACATTTATAAGCAAAGGTCAATTTCTTCTACCCGTGGACTATAACTGATGGTTGAGAAGTAATCCACTCACAACTTTTTCTTTGTACATCAACAATAAACATGAGAAAATGTGGGCTGTAATCCTTGACAAATTATTTCTTACACCACTTCTCCAAAGGGCAGAAAAACACTAGGTAAATACGGTTTCGCTTCATGCAATGATGATCTCGCAAAAAGGGTCAATATAACTATATACAGATTATTAAAGTTTGGAAAGTGAAAAATCTAATTTAAAAAAATCTAATTAGGCATGCAAAATAATATATACAAATATGTCAAACACTAAAAATGAAAGATATACTTGCACTTACTTTCAGACACAACAAAGATAAACAAATTTTATAATGCTTTCTACACATTGTAGGTATTTTGCACAGATTAACTAAAACTTTTCCAGAAAAACACTCCATATATATGAAGCCAGTAAGGCATATTTTCAGATACTCAGATACTTTCAGAGAAGGGAATGAAAAATGGGTCTGTTCACAAAGAAACAACAAGAATTCATAAATCATCTAAAGTGAAAAAGAACTAGAATTCAAAGTGTAAGACTTAAATGAAGTTCAGTGATAATCAGAAAAGGCCACATAAAGCAAAATCCATTTAAAACAGAGACCAAATATCATGATACAGCGGGAATAAAAAGTTTGACATGCACACTCTCTTGAAAAATATTTTAGTTTTTTTAATCTCATATGTAATAAAATTTAGGTTATAACGATAACTATGTGCTTATTCTTAGAACATAAAAAGAGTGAATCAAATGTTGGCTTTTGTGGCAAAAATTTTTCCAACAAATTGGATGACAGCCCAATTCAAAGTCATCTGATTTTCACAGTGCAATCATAAAGAAGGTTTTTTGGTTTTGGGGTTTTTTCAAAACACTCAAAGGCTACATCAAGCCTCCTAATGCCTGTCTTAATATTTTAATCTTCAAATCATTCCCTTTTTAAATACGTCTAAATCAAAGTCATCCTTGTTGGTCTTTCTCTTCTTTACTTTTTAACTATCTGTTGGGTACTGTAACATCCATAAATCATCTAAGAATCTTAACACACAAAGAAAGGACAGGCCCAGAGAGATGCACAGGCTAAGTGAAGAGGGGTTTCTGAATAGGGACTAATTTTTTTTTAAATTTTATTGGAGTATAGTTGATTTACAATGTTGTGTTAGTTTCAGGTGTATAGCAAAGTGATTCAGTTGTACATATATTGATACATGTATTCATTCTTCTTCAGATTCTTTTCTTAGATAGCTTATCACAGAATATTGAGTAGAATTCCCTGTGCTATACAGTAGGTCCTTGCTGGTTATCTATCTTATATGTAGTAGTGTGTGGGACTAATTTTATAAGTGGTATATTAGTGAATATTTTGCTTTCCTACACGACTCTTGAAACTTCATAACTGCAAGAACTTGGATAATGAATTCTCAAGTAATGAGAACCCCCTGTATGTGTACTTCTATTACCTGTTTATACAACAAGAGGGGATACAAATCTTGGTCTGAATATCTTAAGATATATAAAATATATCTTGGTCAGAACCACATTATAAATGACTTTTTTTTTTAATGCAACATAATACTGTACCAAGGTTGTAAGGGAGTTCCTTTTCATGTAGAGTCTCTCCAAGTACTGTAGTCCCTCATCTTTTAGTAACTCCAATGGGAAATGCTGCAGATTCCTATAATTTAAGAACAAATTCTTGTGCTTTTCCAGCCTTGCCACAGAGATCGTCTTACAAAGTTCGGATGCCATGACTGAACATATCCCATCAGGCACACTGCAGCACTACATCTTGTCAAAATTGGTCCATTTCTAAAGAGAACAAAAAAATGGAAAATTATGATACTGCTAACAAACGTTGCCAAATAAACCAGTTAGCATATATAGCTATTTGCAGACATTAAAAAGAGTTATACATCAATTCCTATATTTTTCTAACAACTAAATTTTCACACATATTTAGAAGGAGATTAAAATGAATAACTATTTAATAAAAATACTCTCACTATTTAAGCAATATTTACTACTTAGCAGAAATAGTCCTATTTGAAAAAAATAGTTCTTGAACTTGAGATAGGAATCCCTATCTAAGAGAACAGAGACCAGTTTCATAATATGCAACCAAAGAAAGAGCTTAAAAAATTAGACACAGCAAACCCATTTCCTTCTTGAACTACCTCATTTTGTCTTTAGCTTAAAACATTTTAAAAATATTTAAAGGTATATAATATATAATATAACTAGATCACTTACAACTTCATTTTCTTCACTTCTTACTACCTAAATATTGTCCTATATGCGAATATTTTCTTTCTTTTATCTCTTTATTCTCTTTTCTTTCTTCTTAGCTTTGCAGATGATCAGAAGTAGCAAAGAAACAGGCCTGGGAACATAGAGTTTTACTTAATTATTTCAATGAAAGAAGAAATACTGCACTAGGAAATAAGAATCCTGTACTTTTCTATTACAATCTTTCTGGGCCTTAGTTGCCTTACATAAAATGGAGACAGCAATTTATTGGTAAGGGCCAGAACCCAGAACAGATTAAATACCTTTCTAGCTCCAAATTGACAAGGATAGGAAGAGAAATAACATTTCCCATCTTACCAACTAGGCTCAGGGCAGAAACAAACTTCACATCACTTACCACAAGAAGAAACAAACTCAGAGATTCAATAATTTGTCCAAGGTCAAACAGTTCATAAGGGAACAAGGATTTTTTTTCTTGGGCTGGGGAAGGGTGTCCAGTGGATTTCAAAGCCTGAAGTCTTTATACACACAGACTGACAGGATTCCACAGGATACTAAGAAAATGCTAAAACACTAAAAACAAGTTGAGCTTTGTTCAAAGATTCTACTCTGGTTTTCCTGGGCACCCTTTCTCAAACTCTCCAAAGAGAAGTACCTTTCAAAGAAAATGTTTTTTCTTAAGAAAAACTATTTTCACAGGGAATTAATACCAAGTTAGTACAAAATGCAGTAACATAAGCTTTCAATAAGCAGAGTTTTCTAACTTTTTGGTTATTTTCTATTATTTCCAAACTCTTAATTCCCAACTAATAAGAAAGCATTTGCTATTTTATATAAAAGGTCAGAGAATATGGAGTATTCAATTATATCCCTAATGCAACATGAGAGTCCAGTACCTTCCCATATTTATACTAGCTACTCACTTACCTATTTTTATGAGACATATTACTTGACTTTGAACAAGATACTCAATCTTTCCACATCTTAGTTCTCTCCCTGTAAAGCAAGGGGAACTAGGCTACAAATAACATCGTTGATTGTATTTAGAAAGGGAAGCTTTCTGGGTAATTATTCACTGAAATAGTAAACTAGAAGCCGTTTAGATGTCTCACAAGCATCTCAAACTTAACACATTCAAAAAGAGTTTTTGATATTCATCACCAATCCAAATCTTCCCCAGTCTTTCCAACCACCAGGAAAGCCGGAAGTCATGAACGATTCCTCCACCACCTCCAATCTATCACAAGGCATATGGTTTCCATCTCCAAAATACACCTCAAATCTATCCACATCTCTCCATCTGCCCAAATGGAAAGCCACTGTCATCTCCTGCCTTGCCATATGTATTACTGGTCTCCCTGTGTCCACTCGAGTCACTTTGCAATACATTAATCACTTAGCTGGGAGCCTTTAAAAAAGAAATCCAACTATGTCTGCCTCTCTTTCTCAGGTAAACTTGCTCCCTAGTCACATGCATTCTAAATAAACCCTTCAAAAGTTTATTAAGAAAAATCAAACTTACCAAGTATTGAGGGCTCTTCACAATCTGGCCCCACCCACTTCTCCAGACTGGCAGCACCCTCCCTGGCTTCTCACCAAACTCCTGGGTTTTTCTAGTGCTTCAAAGTGCTAAACTTCACACCACTTCCTGCTCTCCTTTAGCCTTTGAAAGCACTGTCCCAACGCCCTTCAGGTTTCAATGTAAAAATCACTTCCCCATCCCAAGCTGAAGTCTTCTCTCTTACTCTTTCTTTGTAGGACTCTTCACAATTTGTAATCTATATATTTATTGGTGCATCTATCTATCGTCAATCTAGCCAAGAGACTGTACCGTAAGCTCCTGAGGGCAGAGACCTTGCTGTTTTCTTTACATTTGTATACCTGCCTCTAGCACAAAGCAGGCCCTCAAACAGCTGATAAACAACTGACAGTAGGACATGTGAGTAATATTGTAAGGTAGATTTTTTTTCCCCTTGATCTAAAGTCAGCTTGCAGATACTATATGCTGACTGCGTGCTATGTGCAATAAAGATCTCTCAATCCTTAAAACTCTGCACTGCAATAGACATTATTTAGCCTATTTTATAGATGAGGAAACTGAGTTTCTCAGAGGATAACTTGCCAGAATACCAACCCAGGTGTTCAACTCCAAAGCCTGTGCATTGCTCTACAAGGCAGACTTCCATGAACTTCAGTGGGGCCTGTGCTTCTTCCTATTATTATTTAAGTGGTAGGCAAAGCTTATGCAAATCTAAGACTACAAAGCAAAACCCACACTCCCTGATGGGAAGATCCAATAAGAGAATACAGTGTAACCTGATGGCTTTCCTTCTAATCCTGCTGAATCCTGATGGGTGGGATTGGTTGCCCTTAAAACGTCATTACACTCTGTTAAAATGCATTTTGCTAGGAAGGCAGTTTGGGAGATGAAATCTACACAAATGAAATCTGAAAGCTTTCAATAATAAATAATGGTAATGGTTTTCCGTATGCATTCACTGGCAATGCACAGCCTTTACCAGCATAATTTTCTTACACATATTCCCTTCACTACCTCTCATCTACGATTAAAAGCAAATGGTATACTTAATATTAGCTGTATACAACTGCACCTGCATAACAGTTTTCTGACAGGTAAATACCAATCCACTCTATTATTATTTAAAGCAAACTAACCTTTCCATCTTAAGAAAATTCCACACATTTTAAAACAGGTGTGTTTTAAGGGAAAGGAGTCCCTTAGATTGACTTCCGTACTTAAGTCAGTGGAATACCCACTCCAATTTCCTAATATTGTAGATTAATGAATTAAAACCCGCACATTAAAAGCATTTATTAAAGGTTATTTTCTCAGTACTGAAAATAAGGCTGTCAGAAGTCTTAGTTAAAACACATGCCGTTTTGCCCGAGTTAACGAAACACTTTGGTTGTTAGAGTTTGGAAGCAGTGAGCCCAGTGGCAGGGATTTCACAGTCCCGGTATCGGGATTCTCCGACCACCGAGGGCGAGGAGGGCCCGGCAGCTGTGGCGACCCGAGGCCCGGGCGGGCCCGCTCGGGCCGGGGTCCACTCGCTGCAGCCCGGACGCTTCTGCCAGACCCGGCCTCAGGGCCGGGGGTCGGGCCAGAGGGCCTTGCTTCGTGAGCCACCCGAAACGGCGAAGTGCCACACTCACCTCGACCAGCGGAGCCAGCGCTCCCGGGCGCAGAGGTGCTGGACGGCAAGCCGGGACTCGGCGGGCGGGGCGGGGCGCCGGGAGGGGACGGGGCGGGGCGCGGACGACGCGGGGCGGGACGGGGCGGAACCCTCACTTCAGAGGGTTGGGGGAAGACAGAGCGGAGGAGAGGAAGACGAAACCTCGCGATAATGCTCCACCGTTCTCGCGGTTTTTACGATAGATCGCACGAGAGGCTTGTTTTCCAAGCGATGTGCCTATTGGCCAACAATGTGGCTTCTCCATGACTTGGCCCCGCCCTTGGCCCTGTCGTTGCTTCCGGCTCCGGCTTCCGAGTTTGTTGTTGAGGTCAGCTTTTTGCTCAGAATTTTGAGGGGGTAGTTTAGCCGGCTGCAGCCTCAGGGACCGTCAGTAACTGATCAGTTCTTTCATTCATGCATTCACTGACGCACTCGTCCTCTCGTTCAATGCATACGTTGAGAAATTACAACAGTAATAACACCCAGTCGCTTTACTGTATACCAGGCAGCGTTCTAAGATCTGTGCATAGGTTATCTCAACCCTCACAACAATCCTATGACACGGGTACTATTACTATACTCGTTTGACGGATGAAAAACTTAGGTCAGGTAGGTTTATGTAATATGGCCAAGGTTAGTAATCAAGTAGTGAGCTTAAGCCCAGTATAAAAGAAGTCACTGCACGCTGGCAGGTTCGTTCCGAGAGTGAGGCAGTAACCTAGTCTCTGCTCTTGAAATACTGTAGGTCTGCTGTGAGAAACAATCGTTAAAACGACAATAACAGCTGTGAGAAACAATCGTTAAAACAACAATAACAACTTTGTAAGTTAAATATTCTGGCAGTTCCTAGCATGACTGAGTAGGCCATCAATAAATATTTCTTCAGGACGGAATTTCCTATGTCAGCAGGAGTCGTCAAAGGAAGAGACCTTTATGATGGTAAAAACAAAAAAAAAAGCATTGTTAAGGAACAGCAAAAAAATATTTTTTTAAGTACCTTGCTTGTTAACATGACAACTTTTCTTCTGAAATGAAGTTTTTTAAAAATTTCCTCTCATGAAACTACTGTTATTTATTGTTCTTTGGCAAGCTTGATGTTGATTATAATGTAGCAGTTCATTGTCAAGATATCCTGACTTTATACTGTTATTTATTGTTCTTTGGCAAGCTTGATGTTGATTATAATGTAGCAGTTCATTGTCAAGATATACTGACTTTATAGATTTACGTTGGTTTATTTAATTACTATTAGAGGTAAATAACCTAGAAAGCAGAGTTATATTAAATAAAAATAAGACCTATCTCAAAACAAAGTATGAGTTATAATGAAATACTTACCAATTATCTATTTAGTAAACCTGGTCTTCAGAAGTTACTGAAGTATATGGATGGTATATGTCATGTACTTCTAAGACCTTTTATACAGGTTTCCAAATACTTAAGAATTTGTAGTACTTAGAACTTTTTTGCTAGACTTAAAATGAGGAAATCCTCAGTTTATGTAAAAACAAAAATCTTTCGGTTATTAAAGATCAACCCAAATAATATGTATTTGCTCCTAATATTGAAGAGTCACACATACAAAAAGGCAACTATAGATAGAACAATTTTTAAAAAGTAATCAATGTTAGTCTCTTAGTTTTCATTTCTTAAAAAACGAAATATTTTAATGCATTAATTTGACATCTGATATTTGATCATGAAAAATGAATCATCTTAAAACAACTTCTGCCCTCTGAAACTGACACAAAAGTAGCCATGTGATTCTTTGTATTAGTATGTTATCCTATGGCCACTCTTTAAAGTTCTCTAAATTTGTCAAGTGTCAGTTTCACAATTTGCCTCCCTCAGAACAAGGGGGAGGGACTTCCCTGGCGTACCAGTGGTTAAGACTTCCCTTTCCAGTGCAGGGGGTGTGGGTTCTATCCCTGGTGGGGGAGCTGAGATACCACAGCCCTCCTGGCCAAAAAACCAAAATATAAAACAAAAGCAATATTATAACAAATTCAACAAAGACTTTAAAAAAAGAAAAAAAGTCCACATCAAAAAGGTCTTTAAAAAAAAGGCGGGGGGGAGGAAATCCTCTAATACAAACTAGTGATTGGACAATCTTTGGCAAACTTTAACATCATCAGGCAGCGATACCACTTTAAGAAAATTCCAAGGAAAGGACAGCCCCATTTTAAAATTCCCACCTCTGGCTCCCAAGGATTGGGTTGCAAACTTAGATAAAACACTCTTCTCCACTCCCTATTGGTGCATGCTCTATCATTCATTCTCCCTGGAATTTTGTGAGATACTAAGTTGCTTTATGGGAAAAGGCTGCGCCAATTTAGGCTGGAATTGCCCTACTTTAGACTTTTTCTGGTTATCAATCTGTACAAAGAATCACCAAACTGATACAGCGTGGACCAAACTGATAAATCAGGCTGCCGGGACATTGTGTAATTCGATCGAAAAAGAAACGGACAACCTCTCAAGCACATCGAGTATTTGACAAAGGATTTTACGACACTGAGAGAGATGTAAGAGTTAAACTTTTCTGATTTTTTTTTTTGCTAGTTTTAAAGGAGTAAGTGTCAAAGGAAAAGCAGATAAAATGCTGGCATAATGTAAGAGTGGCAGGAAGAGAGTTTCAGAGGGTGTTTTTAGAAAGAACATTATTCGCAGATCAGTAATGGATTTTTGAATGGTAAAGGGAAAAAGGTAGTAAGATTAATAATAGATTATTTTATACTCCAAGAAGCTGTGGTTTTTTGTTGCTTTAATATGGATTTAGAGGAACACAGTAATATTATTGTAATTATCAGAGGAAATGAATATTTTTGTATGTATATTATCTTACCTAGCATAATAGACAATCCAGCTGTTAAAAGATATAAGAGAAAATTATCATCATCTTTGGACCCAAGTTTTGTGTATATTTGTAGATTCGGAGATCCAGGGACAGATCTGCTAACAACAAAGGAAAACATAATATTGATGTATGAAACAGAATCAGTAGGTAATGAATGTAAGGATAAATTCTCAAAAATGAAATCCAGCATTTATACTTTCAAAAGTGATATTTTCACTAAAACTAAAATATAAAAGTTCAGGAAATACTGATAAATGAGGATAATGTATATTAAAACATATTTGAAATAGCAACATTTAAAAAAAATCCAGCCCAATAAAAAATTCCAAAATATAGCATCTTAAAGATTCTTCAAACATTAATTCAGCTAGTAAATATAATACCTAGTAGCACATCTATACCTCTACAAGGCCTAACTCAGAGTAGGTATGCAATAAATATTTCTTGAGGGTCCTCTGTTAATCCATATATGGGGATATAAAGTAATAAAATACAGTCTCTCAAGAAGCTCATACTCTAGCTGGGAGAAAGAGACTCAAAAAGTTTAAATGAAGACTTCTGGATAGTTTTTGGTGCATAGATGACTGCTGTAGACCCTAGATGCTTCAGGTGCTCAGATCAGTGTGAGCAGAAATATTCAGGGAGAGTTTCACAGTAGGGTTAAGACACATTTTGAGCTTCAGCAATGAGCAAACTTTCAGTAGATAGAAAAGAAAAGAAATGGCATCCCGGGTAGTGGGAGAGTTGTTAGCAAATATGTGCAGCCTAAAGAATAGAGAATAATTAGCTCTGACGCAGCAAAAGCTTCATTTGGGGACTTTGGTATAATAAAAATTTTTTAAAAGCATGAAAAGTTACACAAAAAGTCAAAATTGCCAGAATTAAGGAGTTTGGTCTTGCGTTTTAAAGTAACATTTGTAAAAGATAAAACTGACATTGCAAGAACAGAGACCAGAAGCTAAGGGGCTAAATACTATAAATAATGGAGTGCAGATTGGTAACAGCCTCATAAGACATTTTCTCCAAATACCTTCACATGGTTGAATAGTATAAATCTTGATGCATTTCTTTCTATTCTTCTGAAGCATTGAGCTTATTTTTTGTTAAACACTACAAATATAAATTTTATTAGATGAGGTGTTAGTTGTGGTGTAATAAAACAGTAAAAGTAATTGTTTACATTGCATCAGTTCTTGCTCCTTTTCCCTCAGAATTTAACGGTTTCTTGTTTCTATTTAACTGAATTGAAGGAATTTCAACCAAAAAAAAAAAGTTGTGACTGAAGAACACCATGGGAAGATGGGAGATATTTGTACTCAGACTGTAGGCTTTCACCTGATCTGTTTCTCTGAGACAAAACTCAGTTCCATACCTCAGTGAGCTGCTACCATGTACCAGATGATATCCTCAGTGCTGGGCAAAAAAAGGTGAATCAAGAACCATCTCCTCCCAAAAAAGCTTCAGGGATACCAAGCAGGGTATTTGTCTCCTGCTTCAAAATTTGCTTCAAAGAACCTGAAGTTCATCTATTTTAAATTTTTTTTAAATTGGAGTATAATTGCTTTACCATGTTGTGTTAGTTTCTGCTGTACAACGAAGTGACTCAGCTATATGTATACATATATCCTCTCCCTCTTGGACCTCCCACCCACACCCCCCACCCCCGCATCCCACCCATCTAGGTCATCACAGAGCACCAAGCTGAGCTCCCTGTGCTATACAGCTGGTTCCCACTAGCTAGCTGTCTTACTATTCTAAATTCTTGATCAGTGGTTCCTAATCGGATAGATGGAGAAGGAGGTTATCTCTAGCTGTGGAAAAGAATCCTGAGACAAAGTCCCCTGATGACAAATGTGGCAGACTGCATTGCTCGCCAAATATTCCATTTACTCCCCTGGATATCTGGCCCTCTTTGGAATTAGGGAGCAAATGAAATATTAGCAGAAGTGAGGTGGGTCACTTAACGGCAATGGTAGTGAAAAGCCCATACACAGTTTTTCAATCTCTGTTAGTCTACCATGACTCCTGTTGATGTACAGTTAAACCTTGGTCAGCCTGGATCTCTGAAAGACTGTGGATCAGACATTCCCACTCCCCACCTCCATCTCCACCTCTACTAAATCAAGTGAGTCTGTAGCATGTAGGAGTTAGTATCTTACCTCATTATAGCCTAACTGATGCTGACTACCTAAGCTCTTATCAGCTTTTCCCCTGAGGATATCGGCATTTCATTTATTTCAGTTTTCTTAAGAAAAAATGCCCTAATCAACTGAGTTTCATCTATCAGGTAGATGATACGTTTGGGGGGAAATCACACTATAAAGATGGTTTAATTGTTCATCCAGTAAACATTTATTGAGGCCTATTAGGTGTCAGGCAATAATACCATGTGACCCATCTATTCGTAGAGCCAGAATGTTAAGATTGATTTTCAAAATTTTTGGAGCCTCTGCCATATTGTCTTTGGGAATTAGTGCTGCCCTACCTTATGAAAGTCTTGTAGTTATAAGATGTATAAAAGTCAGAATTACATATAAAACTGCATGGTGGTTTCATAGCTATTTTTTAACAGCTTTAGTAAGGTATAATTTACATACTATAAAATTCACTCACTTTAAGGATATAACTCAATGATTTTTTTAGAAAATTTACAGAGCTGTGTAACTATCACCACATTCCAATTTTAGAAAATGTCCATCACTATAAAAAGATACCTCATGCCCATTTGCAAGCACTTCTCATTCCTACCCCCAGCCCTGGCAATCAATAATAAAATTTCTGTCTCTATAGATTTGCCTTTTCTGGACATTTAATACATTAATGCAAATGGAATCATACAATATGTGGTATTTCACATCTGGCTTCTTTCACTCAGCATAATGTTATTGAGGTTTATCCATGTTGTAGTATGTGTCAGTCCTTCATTCCTTTTGTTTTTTTATTGAAGTATAGTTGATTTAGAATATTATACTAGTTTCAACTATACAACATAGTGATTCAATATTTTTACAGATTATATACTCCATTTAAAGTTATTACAAAATAATGGCTATATTTCTTTGTGCTGTACAATATAACCTTGTTGCTTATTTGTTTGATACATAGTAGTTTGCATCTCTTAACCCCATACCCCTATCTCACTCCTCCCCTCTTCTCTCTCCCCACTGGTAACCATTAGTTTGTTCTCTATATCTCTGAGTCTGATTCCATTTTGTTATATTCATTCAATTCTTTTATTTTTTTAGATTCCACATGTAAGTTATAACCAGTATTTGTCTTTGTCTGACTTATTTCACTAGGCATAATACCCTCTAGGTCCATCCATGTTATTGCAAATGGCAGAATTTTATTATTTTTTATGGCTGAGTAATAATCCATTGTATGTGTGTGTGTGTGTGTGTGTGTGTGTGTGTATATATATATATATATCTCACATATTCTTTATACATTCATCTGTTGATGGTTGCTTCCAAATCTTGGCTGTTGTAAATAATGCTGCTATGAACATTGGGTGAATGTATATTTTGTTTTATTTTCTTCAGAGGTATGAGTGGAATTATTGCTGGATCATATGGTAGTTCTATTTTTAGTTTTTTGAGGAACCTCCATACTGCTTTTCATAGTGGCTGCACAAATTTATTCTCGCCAATAATGTATAAGGATTCCCTTTTCTCTGCATCCCTGCAACATTTGTTATTTGTGGTCTTTCTGATGATAGCCATTCTGACAGGCGTGAGGTGATATTTCATGTGTATTTGATATGCATTTTTCTGATGATTAGTAATGTGCATCTTTTCATGTGCCTGTTGGCCATCTGTATGTCTTCTTTGGAAAAATGTCTATTCAGGTCTTCTCACCATTTTTAGTTGGGTTGTTTGTTTTTGTTATTGAGTTATGTGAGCTGGTTATATATTTTGGATAGTAATCCCTTATTGATCATAGCATGTGCAAATATTTTCTCCCATTCAATAGGTTGTCTTTCATTTTGTCAATGGTTGTCTTTGCTGTGCAAAAGCTTTTAAGTTTAATTAGGTCCCATTTGTTTATTTTTGCTTTTACTTCTTTTGCTTGAGGAGACAGATCCAAAAACAATATTGCTACAATTTATGTCAAAGAATGTTCTGCCTATGTTCTCTTTTAGGAGTTTTATGATTTCAGGTCTTACATTTAGGTCTTTAATCCACTTTATTTTTGTGTATGGTATGAGGAGATGTTCTTGTCTCATTTTTTTACATGTAGCTGTACAGTTTTGCCAGCACCACTTACTGAAAAGACTGTCTTTTCTCCATTGTATATTCTTGCCTCCTTTGTCTTAGATTAATTGACCATAAGTGTGTGGGTTTATTTCTGGGCTCTCTATTCTGTTCCGTTAATCTATGTGTCTGTGCCAGTATCATGCTGTTTTTATTCCTGTAGCTTTGTAGTAGTCTGAAGTCAGGAAGTGTGATAACTCCAGTTTGTTCTCCAGTTTGTTCAAGATTACTTTGGCAATTTAGGGTCTTTTGTTGTTCCACATAATTTTTAGGATTATTTGTTCTAGTTCTATAAAAATTTCATGGGTATTTTGATAGAAATTACATTGACTGTGGAGATTGCTTTGGGTAATATGGACATTTTAACAATACCAATTCTTTGAATCCAGGAACACAGGATATCTTTCCATTTCCTTCATCAAGGTTTTATAATTTTCAGAATTTAAGTCTTTTACCTTTTTGGTTATGTTTATTCCTATGTATTTTATTCTTTTTGATGCAATTTTAAATGGGATTGTTTTCTTGCTTTCTCTTTCTGATTATTAGTATGTAGAAAAGCAACAGATTTCTGTATATTAATCTTGCGTCATGCAACTTTGCTGAATTCACTTATTAGTTCTAATAGTTTTTTCGGTGGAGACTGTAGGGTTTTCTATGTATAGTATCATGTCATCTGAAAATAGTGACAGTTTTGCTTCTTCCCTTCCAGTTTAGATGCCTTTTATTTCTTGTTCCTCTCTGATTGCTATGCCTAGGGCTTCTGATACTATGTTAAATAGAAGTGGTGAGAGTGGACATCTTGGTCTTGTTGCTGATTTTAGAGGAAATACTTTCAGCTTTTCATCAATGAGTATGATGTTAGCTGTGGGTTTGTCATAAATGGCCTTTATTATGTTGAGATATGATACCTCTATAACAATCTTGATGAGAGTTTTTATCATGAATGGATGTTGAATTTTGTCAAATGCTTTTTCTGTGTGTATTGAGATTATCATGTGATTTTTATTCTTTCTTTTATTAATGTGGTATATCAGATTGATTGATTTATAAATATTGAACCATCCTTACATCCCTGGAACAAATTCCACTTGGTCATGGTGTATGATCCTTTTTATATATTGTTGAATTTGGCTTCCTACTATTTTATTGAGGATTTTTGCATGTATATTCATCAGATATATTAGCCTGTAATTTTCCTTTTTTGTACTATCCTTGTCTGGTTTTGGTATCAGGGTAGTGGGAGACTCAAGGAATGAATTTGGGAGTGTTCTGTCCTCTTCAATTTTTGGAATAGTTTAAGAAGGATGGGTATTAGCTTTTCTTTATATGTTTGGCAGAATACCCCTGTGAAGCCGTTCAGTCCTGGACTTTGGTTTGTTGGGAGGTTTTTTAAATTATTATTACAAATTCAATATCTCTACTAGTTATCAGTCTGTGTAGATTGTCTATTTCTTCCTGTTTCAGTTTTAGCAGGAGGTGTGTTTCTAGAAATTAGTACATTTCTTCTAGATTGTCCAATTTTTGGGCATATAACTGTTCATACTAGTGTCATAAATTTTTTTGTATCTCTGTGATAGCAGTTGTTCTTTTCTTTCATTTCTTGCTTTGTTTATTGGGGGCCTTTCTCTTTTCTTCTTGATGACCATGGCTAAAGGTTTATCAATTTTATTTATCTTTTTTAAAAAAACTGTTCTTGGTTTCATTGATCTTTTCTATTTTTGTCTCTATTTTATTTCCTCTCTGATCTTTATTATTTTCATGTTCCTGCTGACTTTGGGCTTCATTTTTTTTTTCTAATTCCTTTAGATGAGAAATTAGATGCTTTGAGATTTTTCTTGTTTCTTGAGGTAAGCTTGTATCACTATAAACTTCCCTCTTAGAACTGCTTTTGTTGAATCCCATAGATTTTGGAAAGTTTTGTTTCCATTTTCATTTGTCTCAAGGTATTTTCTGATTTCCTTTTTGACTTCTTCATTGACCCATTGGATTTTTAGTAGAACATTGTTTAGTCTCCATATGCTTGTGCTTTTCCCATTATTCTTCCTGTAGTTGATTTATAGTTTCATACCATTGTGATTGGGAAAATGCTTGAGATAATTTCTGTCCTTGTAAATTTGTCGAAACTTGTTTTGTGGCCTAGCATATGGTCTATCCTGGAGAACATTTCCTGCACA